TTATGCAGTCATTAAAAAGAATAAGACAGTGCTAAGACAAAACATTCTCCAAGATACATTGTTAAGGAAAAGAAATAGTATCTGAGTGAAACAACCCTACATATTTTGTGGTAAATGGAAGGATGCACAAAACATTAGTGACAATGGTAGCCTCTACATAGGAGTGCTGGGTGACTGGGGTTCAGGAGAGGAAAGGAAATTATTTTACACTGGTATCCTTTGTGCCTTTTGAATTTTGTACCATATGCATGTATTACAAATTCAAAAATAAATCCACAAAAAATTATTTAAATGAAGAAAAGTAAAAAGTGTCACCAATCCCAAAGGGAACAGGTTGGGCTAAGATGGTGGAACAAAGTGAGCACATGTCAAATGAAGGCTGTTCAAGGGCTGCCTCCCCCATTTCCTGGCTCTGTCACTTAGGGTATGATTAGGGGTCATAAGCCAGAAACTTACAGAAAAAATCTGGCTTAAAGATTAATGTGCTCCATGCTTTAAAAATGGGAATTCAAAGGACTTGAACAGACATTTCTCTAAAGAATATATACAAATGGCCAATGAGCACCTGAAAAAACGCTCAGCATCACTAATCATTAGGGAAATGCCAATCAAAACCACAACGAGATACCACCTCACACCCAGTAGGACAGCTACTATCAAAAATAAAAACAGAAAATAACAAGTGTTGGTGAGAATATGGTGAAAAGGGAATCCTTGTGCACTGTTGGTGGAAATATGAAATGGTGTGGCTACTGTGGAAAACAGTATGATGGTTCCTCAAAAAATTAAACATAGAATTACTATATGATCCAGCAATTCCACTTCTGGGTATATACCCAAAAGGACTGAAAGCAGAGTCTCAAGGAGATATTTGTACACTCCTGTTCATAGCAACATTATTCACGATAGCCAAAGGTGAAAGAAACCCAAGTGTCCATCAATGGATGAATGGATAAATACAATGGAATATTATTCACCCTTTAAAAGGAAGGAAATTCTGACATATGCTACAACTTGGATGAAACTTGAGGACATTATGCTAATAGAAATAAGCCAGACACAAAAAGACAAATACTATATGATTCTACTTACATTAGGTATCTAGAGTAGTCAAGTTCATAGAAACAGAAACTAGAATAGTGGTTGACAGGTGCTAGGGAGAGGAAGGAAGGGTGAATGATTATTTAATGGGTACAGAGTTTCAATTTTTCAAGATGAAAAGAGTTCTGGGGATGGATGGTGGAGATGTTTGCGCAACAATGTAAATGTATTTAATACCACTGAACTGTATACTTTAAAACGGTAAAGATGGTAAGTTTTGTGTTATATGTATGTAACCACAATCAAAAACAAATGTTTAAAAATCTGAATTTGAATGTATCCAGACAAAGCTTACACTTTCCAGTTCCCCAACAAAACTCGGATGTTTTGCAGCCAGCTTCACACATTTACTTTAAAAATCAGTTGCACACATTTACCTTACCTGCCTGGCCCTATACGCATTCAAATTTGTGAGCCTTAGGAAATATATTTAACCTTTTTGACCCTCAGATTTTCTCCTAGGAATAATAATCCCAATTGACTTCACATAATTGGTGGAGGGGTAGATGAGCTGTGCATGGAAGCATTTATAAACTGAAACAGAGACTGTGACACGCTGCATACCGCGCTCCACCCAGGACTAGATCAAACCATGTTTCAGTATATGGGTTCTTAACATCTTCACATACACTTAATGCCTGAGTTGGGGAAAAGGTCACAGAACCAATGTAGGCAAATTAAAATTAAATGATCCCATGGGTTTGGTTTTTTCCTTAAAATATTATCATTTGTTCTGGGGGCAGGGGGAGGTGGAAACACAGTAAACAACTTTGAGACATGTCACACTTGATATAGAAAACTTGGTTCCCTGACATCGGTCTTTTTCTAAAGGTGGTATAACAGTGTCCTTTCCTCACAGTTAGATTCGCCACCTCAATTCAATAACACAACTTGACAAACATCAATTCAGCAGCAATGAAAAAGAAAACTGAGGCACATAGATCAGGCAGACATGGTTCTTGCCGTGCCATGCAGGAGCTTGCCCACAGCCCCGGGCACTAAGAACTGTCTCTTTAGGTGATTACTCGACTTGGTATCTTCTCCCATGGCAAGTACCATTTTCAACCCGTCTCCTGTTTTGTGTCTAAGAGCTCCTAAAAAAGGAGCTGGTTTTTCCAAAAGTCCTTCTTCCTCTTCACTCCCCTACCACATCTGTCCCTCTGCTCCTCCATTTCTTCTTTCTCACCTTCCAACCATTACTTATTGAGCATTTACTATGAGCCAGACGCCATCTAGACGTGGAGGATACTGTGACCAAGGAGACAAAGTCCTTGACCTTGTGCCACAACATTCTGGTCGAGAAGGTTTCCTTCCTAGCCAAAACTCTGTGCCTTAACTACAGCACTCTGAAAAAGAAAATCTGTCTTTGAATAACCTCCTTGAAGAAGCTAGATTACATAAATCTATCAATACACGGGGGCATTGCTTGAATCTGACCTATGAAATAAGCAACAAAAATATTTTGACTTTATAAATAATATCTTAAGTATATTTATAGTCTGTCTTTCCTGTGCACAGCTGTAAGCATCTCAAGATTTATGCGATATAGAGAGGAGAAAATCATCCTCATGTGTTAGATATGGAAAACAGGTTTTGAAAAATCAAGTGACATATCTCTGTAGGATTGTCAACTTAAGGACACTTGTCAAGCAGTATCCCACAGGAGTCATCTTACTTAATTTTTTGTCAACAACTTGGTTAAAGTGGATTTTATAAATGATTCAAAATACGTCTGAGTGGCTGGAACTAGAAGCAAAGATGGCTTTTAAAACAACCTTGATAGCTTTTCCTGCTGACAACACGGGGGCAAAAGATGATGAACGTTCAGAAAGTGATAGATCCTTCCTCACAAGGGAAGAGGATTGTGCGAAGGTTTAAACACGTTGAGCCCAGCTGCTGTCTAAGAAGTTGCTATTCATTCAAAGATGCTAGAAGTTTGAACTCAGGGGAAAAAGAAGGAAAAACTCTAGGAGATGAAGCCATGCCTACACTTCATAACTTTGGTTTTATGACGAAACATGTACATATTCGGTGCAAGTGACACCGTGTGACTTCTGAGGCCATTGCAGCTTCTGTCTTGATTTCTTGGAACACTTGTTCTAGGGGAAGTCAGTCATTGTGTAAGAAGTCCAACTATCCTGAGTCCACGATACCGTGAAGAAGCACAGCGTAAGAGAGACCATGTGGAGAGAGGTGTTCATCAGCCCACTCAAGCCTTCAGAGGACTCCAGCTTCAGCTGACACTGACCACAATGCGTGAGAAACCCCAATGGAGAGCAGACAGGCTGTGTATTGAACAGGGTCAAAATACAGAACTGTGAGAGAGAAAAAAAATTTTTTTGCTCTACACTATATTTTGAGTCACTACATTTGGGGTGGTTTCTTACACAGTAGTAGATAATAGGAAAAGACATCTTGGAATAGCAGTGTGACATAAAGAGTTTGAGTTTGTTTTTGGAAACGTAGTCTGGAGATGGCATGGAGGGTGGGCTGAAGAAGGCAGAGATTGAAAGGACCGAGATATGTTAGGAGGCTACAGGAGGATAAGTGAATGTCAATGGGAACAGAAAGGAGAGACAGGAACTATAGATACTAATCTAGAGATTCTAGAGGCAGAATCAACAGGATGTAGAGATCAAATAAATGTGTGGTGTGAAGGAGAGGAGGACTGAAAATCTTTCAGCTTTTTGTACAAAGAGACAGGTGGCAGGTAATTTCCTTAATAGAAAGAAGAGCCTATTTGGGAGGGTAGATAGTGAAATGTGTGTATGCTGATATTAAGGGGCTTACAAAGATATATTGGTGAAGATGTCAAATAAGCACGTGGCAACTTTGATTTAAGGCACAAGGGAGATTGGGGTTGTATATATACATTCATGTATGATCGTAGTTACATATGGTGATGGTTGAAGTTACAGAGATGATCTTACCAATAGAAAGTGTTCAGGGCAATAATAGGAGAGGATAAATGACGGAACTTTGGAAGGAGATTTGAGTGGGCAAAGGAGGAAAAGCCTAAAAAGGAAACTGAAAAAAGTGAAGTAGAAAGAAACAGGAGACTCATGTCTTATATGCAGAGGGAACAGAGAATTTCAAGAGGATAGAGCTTTCATTGTCAAAAGCCACTGCAAGATCAAGTAAGATAAGACTGTGGTATATGGTTTTGACAATTAAGAGGTCATTAGGACTCTAAATGAGACTACTTTCAATAATCTGGCTTTGATCAGAGTAGTTTAAGGAGCCGATTAGGGGTTTAAAAAGCAGAGACTATGAATATAGATTAGTCTTTAGAGATATTTGGTGGTAAAGTGAGGGAAGAAGAAAGACAAGGTAGTTTGAGCATGATTGTAGGCTAAGGGGAAAGAGGAGACTAAGGACAAGTTGGGTGGCAGGAGGTCCCTGAACCAATGGAGTGAGGTAGAGAGGTCTCCAGAGTCAACTATCTTATAGGCATCTGCTCTTCAAAGTGTGGCCCACAGACTAGTAGCATCAGCATCACCTGGGAACTTAGACATGCAGAATCTCAGGCCACAGCGCAGGTCCAGTGAATCCGAGTCTGCATTTTAACAAGGTCCCCAGGTGATCATAGGTTTTAACACTCGCAACAACCAGGTAAGGTAGGCATCACTGTTCCTATCTTTACCTATGATGAGACTAAGGCTCAAAGAAGCTGCTGGAGATAGCCAAGCTGATTACTGGCTGAGCCAAGGTTCAACCCCAGAACTTCCTGAGTCCAATATTCTTTTCAAGAGGTAGAAAAATAAGTTCAGAGGAATTCCTACTTTCACTCAATTTAGGAGAATTGTTTCAGATGGTAGAACAATCTGTACAGACTGAACAATCAACGGTCTGTACTTCCAGTGCCGCCAGCTGTGAGCTTGTTGTGACAGCGATGGACGAATCCCTTTCTGAGCCCTTAACGGCCTCGCAAGAAATAACATTGACAGCGTTGGAACTTCACTTCCCAGCAAGCCCCGCGGCCTCCTGTCGCGCGAGGCACGACGGGCACCTCGCCCCATTCTCCTCTCCGCTGGAGCTACCCGGCTTAGGAGGGATACGGCACAGCCCGACGTAAGGGCGCGCGGCATCCTGGGTTGTGTAGTCTGGCCCGGACTCGGACGCTCCCTCGGATGAATGGGGCCCGGGCTGACTGGGAACTACGCTCTTCGGCCGGCAGCGTTGGTGGCGGCCGCCGGGGACGGGGAGACCGCAGCGGCCCCGGGGGAGAGCAGCGCCCCGGGACAGTGGCGATGTTCTGTGCCGCGGCCGAGGCAGCAGCCCGGCTTCCTGGGGTAGCGGTCTAGGCGGGCGCTTCCTCTGCGCGCTCGCTCCCCTTCCCCTGCACCGGCCATGCGCCCGGCCTTCGCCGTGGGCCTGGTGTTCGCAGGCTGCTGCAGTAACGTGATCTTCCTGGAGCTCCTGGCCCGGTGAGTGACCCCGGCGGACCGCCCCCGGGCTCCTGGAGCTGCACTGAGGCCGTCGGAGGAGAGGCGCCCCCGCGCGCCGCCCCCCTGATGCGCCCCCACCCGCGGCGCGCGGGGGCCGGAGTGGCACGGTTTGAGCCGCCGGTCGGCTCGGGGCTGCCCGGGACCCTGCTGAGCTGGCTACTTCGTCAGCCTGCGCACCCCCCGCTATCCCGCGCAACACTGTCACAGCATCCCTTGCACGGGAACACTCGGGGTCTTGCTGTCGTCACCCCTTTTTCACACACTGGAGGGATTGAAGCCTGGAGAGTTTTTCACGTGACTGGTCCAAGGTCGGCAGGGAGCTCGAGGCAGACAAGTTCCTCCAGCTCTGTTCTCCATCCTGTTAATGCCTCATGTTTGATTTAAGCAACGCTTTCTGACTTATAAAGCAGTCTGATTTTGTACAGGCTGCAAAGGAAGTTTTCATCTGTATTAGTGCCCCGCAAAGCATTTGTTTTATTGGCCTTAGAGATGGTTATGAATGTTTTGCCCAAACGTACCTCTTAGTGATGTAGTAGAATGGATTCTTGTTTATACGGAAGGTCCGTCCAATTGACCCCGGAGAGCATTTCCAGCTTTAAGGTATTATAGTCTTTGCGTTGGGAAGCATGCATTTTGAGGTGTAACTTTATAAATTTCCCAAGGGAAACTAGGTTAGCTTTATTGAGGTAGCGTGAAAGTAGTGTTGAGTAATAATGTGCCAAGTTCAGTGGATAGAAGGTGTTACAGAAAAGATACAGGCAGACTGGAAAAGGCTCAGGACCAAAAATCTCAAAGGTGTGCATTTCAATATGTCATGGCCTGGCTGTGTGACCTTTTCAAGTCATTTAGCCTCTCTGGGCCTCCTTTTTCCCCTGCTGTAAAATACTATCTGTGTGGTGCTATTTAGTGCCATGTTTCTGAATCTACACATTATTTCCATCAGAAATTACTACTGACCATCAGAACAATCTTGTGTACAAGATAGGTCAAGAATTAAAATCTCTGTCTTACCGAAAGTGAAACAGGTCCCAAGAAGTTAGATGATCTTTTACTACTTGTAAGTGGCAGAGCCAGAACTGGAACCCAGGATATCTAAACTCTTAGTCCAGTATCTTTTTCAACCCTATTATTTTTGAGCTTGAGCAGCCCATAGTTTTGGTCACCCAATTCCCCAGGTGGTGCCTACTAGAAATGTATTTTAGGGCCTGCCCATGGCTTAGCGGTTAAGTGCGCACGCTCCGCTGCTGGCGGCCCGGGTTCGGATCCTGGGTGCGCACCAACACACTGCTTCTCTGGCCATGCTGAGGCTGCGTCCCACATACAGCAACTAGAAGGATGTGCAACTCTGACATACAGCTATCTACTGGGGCTGTGGGGGAAAAAAAGGAGGAGGATTGGCAATGGATGTTAGGTCAGAGCCGGTCTTCCTCAGCAAAAAGAGGAGGATTAGCATGGATGTTAGCTCAGGGCTGATCTTCCTCACAAAAAAAAAAAAGAAGAATGAAATGTATTTTATTTTCATGGTACAATTGATTAAGTCATTCTGAGGCAACTAATTTACTCAAGGTAAAGTCCACGTGGGGTTAGTTTTTGCAGTTACAGAGCTTGAAATTTTATTATGCAGAAAGCGTTGATAAAGGTCTGTCATTTGTCATTCTTGTAAGTAGATCGTGAGAGATATGAAAATGAAAGAAAGAACGTATCTGGCTGTAAGCTAGTACACTTCAAAGAATGGTCACTTTGGAAATTGATTTAAAAATATAAAAAAATGATAAAATCAGGCCAGCCATGGAAATGAAGGTCAGAGAAAAACAGTGTAATATTTGTGTTGAATATGCCATTAAGTGAAATCTTGCCAAAGGCTGATGTCAGAATATGCTGGCAACTGAAGGCCCTCTTTGCTAGTTGTGAGGCCTTGGCTAAACTACTTGACCTCCCCCAGTCTGTTCTCTCAGCTGTAAAAGGGAGGGGATGGCCCTACCAGCCTCATGGCGTGTGGGGGATTAAATGAGATGCATGTTTGAAGCCCCTGCTCCCCCTTCTCTCCAACAACTTTTGTTTCAATACAAATGTACCTTGTTTTATGAGCTGTTCCTGAAAAATTGTGGATAAATCTAGCTTTACAGAATGTTTTCGTGCATTATAGGAGCTTCTATTTAGAACACTGAATAATTTGTAAGTAAATCATCACTCCTTATTTATCTTTTTTGTAAATCTGGATTTTTGCATATAGCAGTGGATTTTCATAAAGTGGTGAGAGGTACATTTATTAATTTAATGAGTGGTACACCAGACTGAATAGCAGCTTTTTCCTGATTTGCTTGGGCAACTCACGACTTCTCATGTTACAGATCAATAAAATAAGAGCTGCTTGGACCAGATGGTCTTTAAGGTTCTTTGTAGGTTTGGCCTTCTCATAATTTGTGACTTTATCTTGGGACATCACAGTGGAAAGCTCATAAATTTTTATAGAGCAGGAACTGTGCTTCTTAAATGGCTTCCTTGGAACCATTAGGTGCCCCAGTAAGTGGCAAGTAGAACACTAAACATAAATGGAAATGCTAAAGTGACTTGTAGGGAGAAGCAAACATTTTTAACCATTTTCCCCAAATTGGAAAACATATTTAGGTTTTTCTTTCTGATTTCTGTACATATAGTTGGGACCTATAATAAAATATAGAGCACCATGCAGTGTACAGAGCAGATGCAAAGTAATGAATGAGTGCCTTGATCTCCCTCCAAAAGACCTTACATTCTACCTTGGAAACAAGATTACGCCCACATCAGCTAACTAGGCAAGGTACTGCGTGTCTTAAGACAAGAAAACAGTCTGAAACATTTTCTTTTCCCCATTTTATTTTTTAATCAAGTGCCTAATGTTGAATCAAATAAAGAAGTTTCCTAAATCTAGAATAAGAAATACAAGAGGCATAAACTATCTGCCCAATTCTTTCTCTTCCAAGTTGCTTTTTTAAAAGTAAAAATTTGGATTTTTGCCAAAGAGAATTCAAAGTAAAAGAAACTGTTTGCAGTTAATGATTATTAAGAGGAATAAAGTTCAAGAAAACAAGTGATTTAGAGAAAAGGATCCAAGTTTTTACTCTGAAGTTTTAAAACGAATTATTCGAGTTGAAATAAATAGTTTCATTGGTAGCTATAGAACAGTGTGTTCCTAAAAAGCTCTGTAAGTTGATTTTTTTTTTAATTGAATTATTTGAGTACATTAGGGAGATGTAAAAATCCTTTAGAAAAAGAGACAAAGTAGATTAGGGTTGTCAAGGGAGCAGGAGAGGGGAAATGGGAAGTGACTCCTATGGGATTTCTTTTGGAGACGTCCTAAAATTAAATAATGGTGATCGCTGCGCAACTCTAAATATACTAAAAACCACTGAATTATAAAAAAAAATAACAATAGTAAGGGGGTTCCAAACACCGTTTACTTGCCCTGTGTCCCTGGGAGACTTACCTAACTCAGTGCCATGTAGCCCACAGTGTCTTTAGCAATGAAATGGGCATAATAATACCTACCTCCATAAAATAAAGATAAAATTAAACATTATTATGATACCTATAAAAAAATCCTATGGAGAATACACTTGTAAAGTGAATCATTTTTGGAAATAAATTGTTTCTTTTTATCTTTCATACAATCCTAATATTCTAGATCACGTTTGCTTAAAGTGAGGCACCTGCACATTCATTCCATTGCTTGAGTGAAGGCCAGACACTGTGCCTAAAGAGCGGGGTAGGGAGGTATACGGGATGTGCCCAGGCCTCTGACCTTCCCTGTATGGCCCTGGGTTCTCACTGTCTCATACTCCACGTTTGACTCCCTCATCCTGTTGTCGTTTCCTGAAGGGCAGGGATCACGTCCCACTCACATTGGGAGCTCCTTCCCGGCTAGCACCTAACTTTACACATTATGTGTTCTGATAACTGTTCTTTAATTGAGTTGGCCTACGCTTTTGGCAAAGAGAAAATGAAAGAGAAAGCAAGGAAATTTAATGAGCCCCTTTTGGGCTAAGTCTTGCACTTGGCACTTGACATATATTTTCTCATCGAATCCTCACTACAACATTAAAAATATAGCACTTTCATTTTATAGGTGAGAAAAATTGGACAATATAAATGTCTTTAAAAAGATTACTATGGGGCCAGCCCAGTGGAGTAGTGGTTAAGTGCGCAGGCAGGGTTCGCAGGTTCGAATCCCAGGCATGGACCTACTCCCCTTGTCAAGCCATGCTGTGGCAGCAACCCACATACAAAATAGAGGAAGATTGGCACAGGTGTTAGCTCAGGGCTAATCTTCCTCAAGTGAAAAAAAAGAGGAAGATTGGCAATGGATGTTAGCTCAGGGTGAATCTTCCTTAGCAAAAAAAGAAAGGTTACTGTACTTAGATTGAAGACCTTTCAGTTTGTAAGATTCTAAATACTGCTCATCCTCTGGTTCTAGTCTTTGCCTTTTTCCCTCTGTGGCAGGCACTATATTAAGTGCTTTTCAAGGACTGGCTTATTTACTCTACAGTAAACCAATGAAATAGGCACTAATATTGTTCCCATTTTTAAGATAAGAAAACTAGACTTAAATAGGGTAATTAACTTCCACTGTCACAGGGTAAGTGACAGAGCTGGATCATGCGTGTCATTGTGTACACAGTGGAGCACAGTGGTTCTCAACCCTGTGACAGCCACATGAGATTACCTGCTCATCTTACACACATACAGACACACCTCCCAGCCCTTTCCCAAAACCTACACTAGTGGTTCTCAATTCTGGCTGCTCATTAGAATCAAGTGGGAAGCTTTCAAAAGTACAGATTCCAGGGCCCTACCCCAGACCAATCCAGTCAGAACTGGGAGGGTGAGCTCCTCAGGTGGATGGGTTTTTAAAGAGCAGCCTCGCCAGAATTGAAAAGCATTGTGCTCGGAACTTGCTAGAGCTCAAGTTCCTTCTCTTGTCATCATATTTAGGCTAATGGTTTTAATTAGCTCCTTGAATGAGGTAAATGTCTTACATGATTATTTATGGATTCTGGTAATGTTTGGCCCTGTCCCTTGAATATAAGAAGTACTAAAAGAAATCGTTGAATTGAATATAAAGCAGTAGTTTTCAAAGAAACCTTAGTCAGGAGAGCCTGACAGAAGCAGCAGTTCTGCTTTAGATGGTAAGCGTAGCTCTGTGCAAGAATGGCGTATGCCTGGGGTTGTCTATATTTATGCCTCATGGGTGTATTTAAGAATTTGTATATCTTGGCATTGCTTTTTCATATTAATACCACCAATAGAGAATGGCGGTTTTTTTTTAATAAATAGTGTTACATGAATATATAATAATACAGTTAAATCCCTCTCATCACTGGCTTCGGGTAAATGTGAATACAGATATGAAGGCTGTGAATGCTGGTCATATGGGGAATCTGGAAGCTTCAGGAAGACAAAGACAGGTGCTCGTGTTGTACTTCTTCCAGTGACTGAGCAGAGCCCCATGGAGGACAAGCTCAAGACAACCACCAACATTTTAAGTAACTAGTCTTCACATGGTGCCTCAAGAGGGATGTCGGACGAATTTTTCTGCCTTATGAATTTGTTCCTAATGGTCGCCATGGAAGATTCCCTAACTCTTACATAGATCACTGAAGAGGTTCGATTGAATTCCAAGAACATTTGCCGAGTGCCTCATATATCCAAGACACTGGGTTAAGGGTTGTGGAGAACGGTAGATTATAGTAGCATTTCTCAATATTTTCTTCATTATTGCTCCTCCCCCAACCCCAAGACCCTTTCTAGACGTTTTTCTCCTAATCACCCCTCCACAGGTATACTATATGCTATATGTATATCTGTACTTTATACTTATACAAAGAGTAAGATTCCCCCACCCCACCCCAAGAACCAATTGTTGCCCTGGTGGGGATGCTGTCTGAGGTAATGTCCCTGTCGTCAACACTGGGTACGCGTCTTTGATTGACAGCAGTCTCTGAGATGCCTGGTCAGGAGGATATATCAAGATTCTAGGAGACCTGAGCAACTCTATCCTTAGGCTTTGCTGCCTAAGCTGACTAGGATCCTGACTAAAGCCCTCTTGGTTAAGTGAGGATCCCAATAAGAACATATGACGAACTTCCTACAGTTTACTAGGAAAGTTGTTCTAGGAACAAGTATATCACAGTGCTTCTTCCTCATGGCCTGCTACACCGAGGGAGGGGTGACATAAGAAAACTTGACATTCTTCTCTGTGAGGTATATTACTAAATGAGTGTCCATGGCATATGAAAACTCAGATAAAGGACACTGGGTAATAGAAATCTATTCTCCCTGTTGTTCTGAACTATCAATGTAACAAGACTTAGTGCCCCTTATCTGGTTTTTTTGTGCCTCTCTTTTTGTTATTCACAACACAGGAAGCATCCAGGATGTGGGAACATTGTAACATTTGCACAATTTTTATTTATTGCTGTGGAAGGCTTCCTCTTTGAAGCTGATCTGGGAAGGAAGCGGCCAGCTATCCCAATAAGGTATGGCACATTGAAGTCTCTTTTAGCTTTTGTTTTTTTTTTTAAATTAAGAGCTTTTCTGGTACCTACATAAAAGCAATATGAGACATCCTTTTATAAGATTTGTATCCAAGAAATCAGGAGAATAATAATTCATTTTCTGAACTTAATATGTTGTGAAACTCCAGGGAGCCTGTTTTTAGAATAAAATTGTTGCTACAACACTTAAAATAACTGTGATGGAGACAACAATGAATATATGTGAGTGTGTGTGTATCTGTATGTGTAGTACATGGTCAGTTAAAGGCCTACTGTGACCACAAAATTTTTAAATGGTTACATATGCTATCCTCATGTTGATAAAGTTATCAAATATGCTAAGAGTGGTATCATTGTTCATTTTTAGAAACGAATGGCTTTTGGAAGTAAATAGAGGTGGTGGTTACACAACAGTGTGAATGTACTAAGTGCCACTGAATGGTTTGCTTTAGGATGGTTGAGTTTTATGCTGTGTGAATTTCACCTCAACTGAGAGAAGATGAACGGCAAGCTAAGGCAAAGTTGTTGATTCCAGGCCTCCGTCCACTAGTCTAAGTTTGCATAACCGTACTCATGGGGCCAAATAGAAAACAGAGCAGTTCTTATAATAAACAACGTATTGAAAACTCAGCATTCTTGCTGTGAGAGACTTGAAATAAAAGTGTAATCCACCTAGTTGTGAGCATTTAGTAGGATAGTGTCACTCAGTCCCTTTGAGAGGGAATTCTGGTACCAGTGTCTCCAAGGACTGGTTAAGGCTCATCCTTGTTGGTGTTATTTTCCAGCATTCCTGAGTAGCCTGCTGTGGAAAATGTTGCTGAATTTTGTTAGTATTGTATTTTTAAATTTCCCAATGTGATGCTAAATATTCTGAATACTTTTTTGTTTATTTTTCATTGGCTTTAGTATCTGGATAAAACTTTCTACTCCCAAGACCAGCTTTTTTTGATTCCTCTAACCCTTTCCCTCCTCCTTCCACTATCTCTTTCCATTCTGGCTGCCACTAGCATAGTTCAGGAATGTATTCACTGTCACCATAACTTTTATAATGGTATCCCAGCAGGCTGACCTCCGGCCTATCACCTCTTCGTCCCTGCATTTCAACCTCCTACTGTCGTATGGTGGCACCCTCTCTCACAAGCACTCAGGGGTCACCATCTGAACTCATTAGGTTCAGAGTGAAGGCCAAACTCCCTAACCTGCCCTTTGAGGCTCCCCATGATCTTGCCCTAACAACCATACCCCCTGTGTGTCCCATGTGTGCTGGCAATTTTATTTTCTATCTGTGAACCCATAATCAAAATCTTGCTCATGTCATTCATCCCCATGAGCAATTTCTAGGCAGTGCTATGTAGGCACAATGTGGAATACTTGGAATTAATTATCCTAAAAGACCTTGATGAACACTCTTTATTTCCAAATGGCATCTTTTCAAGACAGAACTAACAAAATTTGGCAAGAAGCCTTGTGAAGTCACCAATAGTATATTACTTAGAAGCTATGAAATCGCCATTGCCAGTAATTTTGCATGTGTGTAACACTGTGTTTTATATTCATTGTAAAGCTCCTCAAACTTGCCAGATTGTGTTAATTTAGCCATAGTGTGGCTGCCTATTAGAGCATATAGCTCCATACCTAACCAGCAATGCAAAATATGTTCTTATCAGGGAAGATAATTGAGACTCAGTGCTGTCACATTCTTCAGATGCGCAAAGATGAAAAAGGGTGGGGATCTGTGCTCAAAGATCAACATTTCTGGAAGAATATGGAACCACCTATTTACCTTTACCCTGCATTCTTTAGCCATGTATTTCAAATATTATTTTTTCTCTTTTTGAATGTATTAGGTTGAATCATATGAAATTGCTGATGTTCAACCCTTTTTGACCTACAAAAAAATTGGCAATTTTATATGGTTTAACCTGGTGCATATGAGAAGCTTAAGTATTTTCTATTTCAAAATGGGGGCATACAAATGTAAAATTATTTATTTAATTCATTTATTTGTTTATAATTGGTCATTTGTATTTATCCCTTCATCTTTCTGACTTATTAGGGTTACTGGATTTCTTTTCGTGTTTGTTTTTATTATTATTTAAAGACCTATAAATGCTCAAAAAACAGGGGCCCTGATTTTAAATAGAAATCTATATGAGTCAAACAATGTCCTCATTAATTTGGAGGCCACTGGTTCAGAATGTGAGAGAATTTTAACAGTTGCTAGGCTGAAAGTAACTCTTAACTTAGCAAACCTTTTCTTTAGAAATAGTGAAAATTAGTAGTATAAACAAGTGTATAGAGGAAATATTTGAGAGAGTTAACCATCTTCAAGTTCTTTAGAGGTGTATGAAAATTATATACAAAGAACTGATATAATAATAAAAATTACCCATTCACTTTAAAAAACCTATTGATATCTATCAGGTAACATTTTTCGAAGCCTAGTTTTAAGTTGCTTGAAAAATACTAAAATAATATATTTGAAAAATATTAAAATAATGATCTTGAAACATTCAATAATTTAAACTTTTTCCATATTAGTCTGGCTTTGTGAAGTATTTTTATATATACTTAGTATTTGACTTCACACTATGATGGTGATACAATCTTTTAATACAGAGGAAATAAGCAAAATAGTTGTTTAAACAAAAATATATATTTCCTTTTATAGTTGATTTTCTTGACATGGTCGATTCTGTGTGATGACTGTTCTCTCTGCATTTCAGGTACTATGCTGTCATGGTAGCCATGTTCTTCACCGTCAGCGTGGTGAACAACTACGCCCTGAACCTCCACATTGCCATGCCCCTGCATATGATATTCAGATCTGTAAGTGCTGCGGCTCACGTGCGGATGTTCCTCTGGGAAATACAGCCAAGTGGGTAGATTGAACACAGGCCAAAAGTAGAAAGGTCTTGTAATAAGTAAAGTCTCGAGTCTAAGAATAGGTCTCATGGATGAGGCAGCAGAGGCTGGCTTTCATCTGAGAAGTAAGGCAAAAAGAGAGGAATGTGAAAGTAGACAGTTTACTTTTATTTATCTGAGGTCTTATGGGTGATGAATAAAAAGAAAGTTAAAATCTTCCCGGGAAACAGATTTTACCTTTAATTTCCTTCATCTGGTTGATTTTATATTCAAACTTGCTAGCAATGTTATTTGCTTATTTCTCATCACTTTTTGTTTCTTTCTTCCGTACAATTACATTTACTTCTAGTACGTGACACAGATACTTCTCTTTTCTGATTTTCTTAAAGCAGAGACTTGAGATAATTAAATAAAGGGAAATTCTTGATGAAGGTGGGCTTCTCCCAAAGCAGTAGAGGTTTCTTCTTTGCCTCATGTATGGTGGGAGATCTGTGTTGAGTGTGTATGTAAATAAGAACAGTGTTCCCTGAAGAGCAGGAAAGACTTCAATGGGAACATAGTTAGGACGGCAGCAAAATGGGTGGTAATCAGAATTAGAACATTTCTGTGTGCTCTGAGATTTTGGTGAGCTCAAATGTTTTATTCCTAAAGGACTTACCAGAGCTAATTATAATTACTAAGGTGACCTTCAGAGCATCGAGCACATAGTAGGCTTTCAATAAACACTTGCTGACTGATGGACACCTTTCTAGAGAGGAGGGAGATCCCCACACGACTTCTTTCATTAAAGCTGGGGGTGAGGAGCAGCTTATTAAAAGCTCTTATACAGTAGATAGTAGAAAATTTGACAAAAATAAGTCTATAGTTTATTCCTGCTAGGCCTAGTTTCAGCTATGACCAGTTATTGAGAATTGATCATTTTTATACTCATTGTCATCTTTAAAAGGTTTTCTTATTTTACATTATAGATTTTTATGGTTTATCCTATTTGCCATCATAAGAACACCTGAACCTTACTAATTATTCATCCTAACCTCTTGTTCAGCTGTTTTTCCCCCTTGTCCATGTTCATATTTATCTTGAATTATGTTATTGTCTGTCCTTAGTGCACTAAAACTCTCTGTTGTCCTTTTACAGGGTTCTCTGATTGCCAACATGATTCTAGGAATTATCATTTTGAAGAAAAGGTAAACAGTACTCTTTTATATTTTATGTATGGGAAGGATATCCTGAGCACCATCCGTGAGCTAGTCATCTGGATTCCTCTTCTCATAGTGGTGATGAGTTTGCTCTTGGCCGTCAACCTTGTTTCTTAATTCTCTCTGTGACAATGATATACCTTCCTGGGGCACTGGGCCAGGTAAGAGGCCCCATCTGTGGCTTTGGAGCCACATATTCTCTGTGTAGAACTAATTAGCTCTTGTCATCATTGAATCTTTAGTACCGGACTAACCTGTGAAGCCAGTTGGTCTAGAACTTCACTGTCCCATATGGTCACCACTAGCTACATGTGGCTATTTACATTTAAATTTGTTATTGAAAATGAAATAAAATTAAATATTTAGTTTTTCAGTCTCACTAGTCACATTTTAAGTGCTCAGTAGCCACATTTGGCTGGTGCTGATCATATTGGAGAACCCAGATATGGAACATTTGCAACTTCACAGAAGTTCTGTGGAACAGTGCTGTCACAGAAGTACAACATAATGAACTAAGAAATAAACATTAAAAAGTATTTGTTGGGGCCGACCCAGTGATGTGGTGGTTAAATTCACGAGCTCCACTTCGGCGGCCTGGGGTACACCAGTTTGAATCCCAGGTGCAGATCTATGTACTGCTCATCAGGCCATGCTGCGGTGGCGTCCCACATACAAAATAGAGTAAGATGGGCACAGATGCTAGCTCAGGGCCAATCTTCCTCACTAAAAAAAAGAAAAAGTATTTGTCTCCCACCTTGATTCTGAGCCTCACCCCTCACTCTCAAGGAAGAGGAACAATGGGGAGAAACAGCACCAACAATCTGGAATATTCCTCATAGGAACTTCACCCTTACTATTAAGACTAAAATTATAGAAGTTGATGCCAACTTTTCAGTGTATTCAATATCCACCCCAGCATTAGAACTCTCCATACTAGCTTGGAAAGTAGCTGTCAATTCAGACTGTGAGAACCTAGAGTTTCAGTAATAAAGCCTGTATCATTAAAAGGACAATTGTCCTGTCTTACCAGGTTCCTTATCAGGAACTCTTTATCTCCTGAGGCTTATGTATTCCCCAGATAAGGACCATTGTAGTTGATTTCTTTGCTAGGCTCTCTGCATTTAAGCATACATATAAATTGTCAGGTTTGTTACATTTGAAGTACACATTGTGCTTCTTGGTAGTGTAGAATTCATCTTGGGACAGACCTATGGTCCTTCCTACCTTTGATTTTGGCTCAAAGCAGGGATACAAAAGAACATATAAAAGGAATGTATTCCCCTGGCTGTCCCCAAAATGTCAGGAGCCTTTCTCACACATCTCAGTTTCCCTTAAGAACTTGAATCTGTCATCGTAAATCTATCTATCTAAGCCTTTTTGGGTCTCCTCGGTGTATATCACCCAGGGAGCAGGAATTTCCCTAAGTTAACTATCCAGTATCATGAACTGGTACTTAGTAACTTCTTTTATTTATCTTGAGTAGAGCCCCTCAAGTTCATAGCGTGCTCCTCATTCCAGGATTTGGAGGTCAGGTGGATATTCACCTTACCCATGCCCTCCATTGTTTTTTTTAGACCTGAGTTATAAACCTATCCGTCTTGAATTTCCCTTATTTTAATACCTGCCTCCAGCAGCCTGTTCCCTCACCCACCCTCTTCTCTAGCTTTGGGGTCTTGGCCCCTTGTTCTACTGCTTAGCCAGTTGTGTGGGCCTTTTATGAGGTGCTGTGACCAGAACTATACAGAGTATTTGAGTAGAAAACCTTGGATGGTTCATCCTGTATGTTTAATTTCTTTTAATTCTTGCCTGAAGCCTTTTGCTTTATCACTGAGAAGGATGTTAATGATACTATTTTAGTTAATTTTAAGTGCCACTGTTATTACTGCCAATAACCCTATTAGTTTTTAATATTCCTCCCTTTATCCAGTTACGACAACATTTAAAAATAACATTTAAGTCATTCAGAGACGTTAAAAAAATATGCTCCTGAAATTGGACGGTTGAATTATTTCCTGAGTCAACACAATCCTGCTACTTGTCCCTGATGGTCTGTTCTTCCTCTTGCATGGTGTGTCTCTTCACACTCAGGTGTGGGCTGCCTGAAGACAGGAAAAGCAACAGGTGCCAGTTAAGATCTCTGTCAGGCTTTCATCTGGATTCCTGAGAGCAGAATGGAATGTCATGTCTGGTCTGTGTCTCTTGTTTTTGTTTTCTGATGAAACAGTCTATTAGTCCACAAACTATTGGAAACAAGCTGTTTTTTTTGCTGAGGAAGATTCGCCCTGAGCTAACATCTGTGCCAGTCTTCCTCTATTTTGTATGTGGGTTGCCACCTCAGCATGGCTGCCCATGAGTGGTGTAGGTCCGTGCCTGAGAACTGAACCCCGGGCTGCTGAAGTGGAATGTGCCAACCTTAACCATTAAGCCTTGGGGCCGGCCCCAGAAACAAACTGTTTTAAACAACGCCAAGAAAGGTGTTGTTTAGAAACCAGTCAGCATCCTGATTCTTTCACGCACAGACTTACATGGACTGTGCCTCAATCATATTTTGGTGGTTTATACTCTCATGCGTCATCTGATTGTAAACATCATGTGGAAATTCCCGTCTGTGCTTTCCTAAGGTGTTCTTGTTCTTATTTTTGCAGATACAGCATATTCAAATATACCTCCATTGCCCTGGTGTCTGTGGGGATATTTATTTGCACTTTCATGTCAGCAAAGCAGGTGGTAAGGATCGGTTCACAAATCATTTATATTCAGTACTTGCCATGGGGGCCTGGATACCAGGCACTTATTGATGATACAATAAATTTAAATGCTTGTATAATACAAGGATGCAAAGTTCTGAAAGAGAAGAGTAGAGGGAAACGGGTAACATAAATATTTCCCTTGTATCTGGGCACCTTGCCTGTAGTTCTGGTCTCTGTACCTGGTTTTTTTTCTTATTTCCTAGACTTCCCAGTCCAGCTCAAGTGAGAATGATGGATTCCAGGCATTTGCATGGTGGTTATTTGGCAAGTACAGTAATTACAATAAAGTTAATTGCCTCTGCAGTTCTGTTTGCTGAGTTTTTTCCTAAGGGACATGTTTCTTGGCAAGAAGCTTCAGCTAAACAAATTATACCATGGAAGAGAGAGACACTTGGGATCATATATCTCTGAAACTTAGTGTTCAAGAAATGAAAAAAAGAAAATGTCTACATTCATGGAAGTGTGTTCTACAACATGGATCCATGTTTCTCTTGGTTGCCACTGGTAGAGAAAGAAAAGTACATGTCCACTTGTCCATCATACTCTCTGGGAGCAGTGCTTAGAGTGTCATCCATTTCTTCATGATCTGTTTACTGAGTAGAAGCTTCTACAAAAGGGCACATTACAGCAGTTGATTCTTTAAATTTCCAAGGGACCCATTTCTAAATCTTAGATTTATTTTCTTCATAAGTGAGCTGTTCCATATGGCAGTGTTCCCAAACCTGACTGATCATCAGAATTTCCTGGGGAACTTTTTAAAATACAAGTATGTCTTTGTGGAATTAATTAGACAACTCCTGTAGAGCTTTGCCCTCTCAGTGTATGATATGAAGGTGAAACTCTTTCCGAGCACATTCAGTGATGGCAGTGACAGATTGGGACTGACCAAATGGAAAAGAAATAGCAATGAAAGAACTATATTCTTGCTTCTTGGCTTTGAAACTTTATCCCTTTAGGTTGTTATTCTTAACACAGAAAGATCTTTATGAGCTATTAGAAAAATACTTTATCCAATAAGAAAAATTTTCAAAGGATATGAACATACAATTCATGGGGAAAAAATTAATGCGCAATAATTTTATATTCAGCCTCACTAGTCTAGTAATCAAAGAAATGCAGATCGAAACCAAAATGCAGTCGCTTTTTATTTTTGGTCTATTATATTGGCAAGATAATAAATGATTATTCTCAGTGCTGCTGAAGTGCAGTAAGACAATCATTTTCGTATAAACTGTTTATGGTATAAATTGACACAGCCTTTCTGGAAAAAAATTTATGTATGTATTGAGTTTTTAAAATGTCTACAACCTTTGACTCAGTAATTCCACTTATGAGAGTTTATCCTAAGGAAATAATCAACATTTCGTTTAAAGATGTATGTACAACGATGTACATTGATTTTAATAATGAAATAATTGGAAGTAATGTAACTATTCTCATATTGTAAGACATTTAAGTATAGTACATCCACATAATAGAATAATATGCAGCCATTAAATCATACTCTTGAAAAAATTTTAATGAATGACTTGAAGGAAAATCCAGGAAAAAGATATAAAATTATATATTCATTATGAAACCTTCTTAGCATAAAATATATAAATAAATATATATAGAGAGATGTAGCGAACTATTAAGGACTGGATTGTAATATAGTGGTTGATTTTTATTTCTTTTTACAATTTTGTACATGTTCTACAATTAGTTTGTAATATTTGTAGAACTTAATCAATAAATGTCTTTGAGAAAAGATCTGGAAATTAGAAAATGTAGGCATCTCCTAACCCAGTGTTTGTCTTTCAGGTATTGGGGCACTGACTTTTGCTCTTCTGATGTCAGCAAGGATGGGTATTTTCCAAGAAACTCTGTATAAACAATTTGGGAAACACTCCAAGGAGGCTTTGTTTTATAATGTAAGCAATTTCTTGAACCTGAGGAATATATAAATTACTGAGTTGTTACTGTAATATGTTATTTCAAACCTAACATGCCATCCTTCTGATGTAGTTGAAGGATCAATTTATTATCTGCTTTGGGCCCCACAGACTGAAGTACTTTTAATAGGCTACTAGTGTGTGTTCTGAGCCACAGTTTCTACATGAGATGGTCATGATCAGTGTGAACAAAACGTGTCTGCTAACCAGGAACAACCCCAAGGGACAAGGAACCTTCACCCCTAATGTTCCTGTAGATGAAATCAAATTAAAACCAATATGGAAACCTGGAAAAGGAGGTTCTAAAAACAACACGCCAAGGGGAATCCGTGCAGGCAGGCATGTGAGAGAGTTGGGAGGTTGGTGAGAGAAGTCCCTCAGATGGGCTTTGTTCATTTGATGGAGAGTTTGATTAGTGAATTATATGTGCTTCTCCTTCTTTGTTTTAAACTGCTGATCTAGAGCCGCCTCCTCTAACTCTCCTCCTTCTCCCTCTCTCCTGTTGAGACAATGCCCAAAACACAGCCCCTCGAGGTCAGGCTGATAGAACTGCCTCCAGGTTCAGTAACCTCGGGGATTCCTTCACTGCCAGCTTTTTGTACTGAAGTTGAAGATAAGCAATTTGAGATATTTCATTGGAGCTAGAGTCTGTGGCTGGGAATTTAAAAAATACAGGAACATTCTGTTTGGTTCACATCTTTCTTTTAGCCTGGTACCGGGCACATGGTTACCTGCTCAGGAACTGTTAGCTGTGACTCCTTAATATTATTGTGGTGGTGGTGGGTTGTTGTCGTCATGCACAATAGTCTTTGCTTACCTAATGTTTCCCCTTCCTCTTCAACCTCTTTTTATTCTTGTCTTCATTTCTTTTTCCCTGACCTCATATCGTCCTTCAAACTCCATTCCCGTTAGTTTCCTAAATTCCTTGAAATCTGCGTTTACATTCTATATCATTTTAAAATCCATTATATTTGCTTAACCATTCTCAAAAATAGTAAAACATAGCAAATTCTTTGGGCAGAATGACTTTGTGTTTAAATTTCTCATTCCCTTTTGTTGAGGAAAGGGTGCTGGCTCCATTTTTTTGTTTTGTATGTGATGACCATCAGACTCCATAAGAGCAAGAACTGTAATTTAGGGGGTTAATATCACGCCATACAATGTCAAGTAGTCAGAAGCACTGGATACATTAAATTAAGATGTCTAGCTTGCTTTTCTTGATATTGGTTGTTAAACAACCTTTAAAACTTGCAGTCATTGTATTATTCTGTAATGGTTTTGCATTTAAATTTATCTGACCTATTTCTTCCCATAGCATGCCCTTCCACTTCCTGGTTTCATCTTCTTGGCTTCTGATATCTGTGACCATGCAGTTCTGTTCAATAAGTCTGGTGAGTTTGGGGTTATCCAGAAGAATTACTGACAGTTTCTAAGGCAGAGTCTCAGTTTGACTCTTGACCACTGCTGTTTTCATGATGTTATCCAGATCAGTCTGTCCCCCTCAAAATTGTCCCCATTCCACCTTCCAGGAGTTGAGTGCCGTTAATCTGTAGTTGCAGCAACAACAGCTTTTACAGGTGCTTCTCAATTATTTGCACATGAAGTAAGAGAATATCTTCAAATTTTCTATTTTGCTTTGGAATTTCTGTGTTTGCATTTGAAGGTGGAATGTTTGATGTTTTGAGAATGCAAACAAATAGTAATAATACACTGCAGAGACTGGAGCCATGAGGAGTTGGGCGGCAGTGCAGCTCTCTCTGCTCCTGTTCATCCTTTTCTGCTGTGAAAGGCAGATCTGCTCGCAGATCCAGTCCGAGCTGCCTTGGAGCAAAGGGGAGCAAAACTTATGACAGGGCTTCTAACAACTTACAGTTTAGCTAGGTGGCAGGAATAAGCAAAATTAGTTCAAATGTCTACAGTGTAAGTTAGCTCTTACTCTTTAAAGTGGCTATTTAAGAAATTAGCTATAAATTGCCAGTTAACTTGAAGGAAATTACTTATATAATCTGATTATCTACTAAAAGACATAGCATGTTATACAGACAAATAAACACACAAGGAAGAAATAAACTTTTTAAAACTCAGGGCTGTGTGTTGCTCATCCCTGAAATGCTAAGTGTATTTTGTAGAATGAAGTAGGTGCTCAGTGAACATTAGTTTGCTGTCTGAACATGAGTTAAGAAGTTGTAACTGCTCTCTGGGTTTGCAGTGTCACCTCTCCCATTTGCCTGCAAAACAATGTGTGAGGAAGGTAGTATACAAGAAAGTTTTTAAGGAGCCAGCCCAGTGGCATAGTGGTTAAGTTCCACGCATTCCACTTCAGTGGCCCGGGTTCGGATCCCGGGTGCGAACCTACACCACTCAGTCAGCAATGCTGCGGCGGCAACCCACATATGAAGTAGAGGAAGATTGGCACAGATGTTAGCTCAGGGCTAATCTTCCTCAAGGAAAAAAAGACTGAGGAAGACTGGCAACAGATGTTAGGTCAGGGCTACTCTTCCTCAGCAAAAAAAAAAATAGTTTTTAAGGCTCGGAATTAATCATTTCTGATTTTTGTTATTGAGATATGATTGACATATAGCTGATTTTTTTTTTATAATTTTATTTATTTATTTTTTTCTCCCCCAAAGCCCCAGTAGATAGTTGTATGTCGTAGCTGCACATCCTTCTAGTCACTGTATGTGGGACGCGGCCTCAGCATGGCCAGAGAGGTGGTGCGTTGGTGCGCGCCCAGGATCCGAACCCGGGCCACCAACAGTGGAGCGCACGCACTTAACCTCTAAGCCACGGGGCCGGCCCAAGCTGCTTTTTGACACAATGGTTTTTAAGGTCTCTGAGAGCCCCCAGTAGCAAAGGGCTGTTGAAATAAACATGTTATCAAATTCCCTGGGATTGATTTTGATTTAGTTACTAGAATGCTTCTTCTAAAAGTTGCAGGGCTCAGTATTTATATAAATGTTTTTAGACTCTGCCTTCAACTTCTTCAGAATCATCCCTATGTTAAATATAGATTTTTTTCTCTTGCTTGTCTTGAAATTAAGACTCAGGTGAACCTGTTATTCTTGAATTTTCTGAGAGAGCTGAATATCTATCTAAACATTTTAAGTCATACTGATTGTCTCTTTCCTTAGCAAATTGATAAAGTTAATATCTGAAGTTATTAAGCAGTAATAACATTTGTTAACTTTCTTTTCATTTCAGTACTTGCTAAGTGTTTCAAAGACAATGGAATACCAGATTATTGGGATTTCCCACTAGTCCAGATGTATAGTTATAACAAATTATCTTTATATATGTAGCTTTTAATTTTTTTGCAAAAGAAAATTAATGTTCATTTACTAACTAGATTTCAGCGTCACCTTGTTAGAATTTTCTAAGTTATGCTGTATAATTCAAACTCCCAAAACAATTCAGCAATATAAAAAAACTGACCCTTGAGGATTACCATGTCCGTATTCTCTTTGATCTTGAATATTTTATTTCCTCCCAAACATTTACTCTGCAAGCCTCATTATATAAAACTAACATAAGAATGTATTTAAAGAAAGGAAAGAAACAGTTCCATCGCCCTACACATCAGCTAATTTCATTTTACCAGTTTCCTTCCAGACACTATTTACATATATTCTTATATAGTTGGAATCCTTGTGTAGATATAATTTTATACTTGCTTTTTTCACTTTTTTATGAGTTTTTTAATGTGACTATATATCATCTTTATGATTTTTTTTTTATTGAATGTACAGTGCCTCACCTAGTTCAAGTACCTTTGCTTACATGCCCATTGCTCTATCAGTGGATACTTAGATTGATTCAGAGTTTTCCTTATTATAAGTGGTACTGCAATGGATCCAGAACTTTTTTCTTCTTTTGAATTATCTAGGATTAATTCCTAAGAATGGGTATAAATACTTTTTTGGCCCCTTAATAAGTATTGTGAAATTAATTTTTAGAAAAAACACCACCAATTTATATTACCACCCTCTGAATGGCTGCCAGTTCCACGACCACCTTGCCAAATTAGGATATTATTTATAAATTTTTAATTGCTAATTTAATAGATATAAAATGGTATAGTCTTATTTTAATTTAGAATTCTTTGCTTACTAGTAGGATTGGACATATTTCCAAATGGCATTTAGTTACTGTTGTCTTTCCTTTCGTGCTAATTGTCAGTTAAGACCATATCATTTTGAACTCTCTGTGCTTCAGTCTTTCTTTGTAAAATGGGGTCCTATGCAGGTGAATGGTTAAAAGTTTATTTTAAAATTAAATTAAATTATAATTTGTTTTAAGAAAAAAATGTAATGACTCTTGAGACTGATGTAGCCTGGAATCAAGGCAAGTAAAGTGGTGTATGGTCTAAATCTGTTTGCAAGGGAAATAAAGTTGCTATCGCTATCATGTTCAGTCTGTATTACTTAGTTCAAAAAGATGAAAACTTTAGTTGTCCAAAGTGATACAGCTGTCTCCCCTCTTAATCTTTCCAGAACTCTATCAAGTTCCCGTCGTTGGTGTGACCGTGCCCGTCATGTGGCTCTACCTCCTCATGAACGTCATCACTCAGTATCCTTTGCACTCCTCTGCCATAGTCTTCTCTGTGTTATTTTGGCATGGGGAAGTTTATTCTTTTCTGCTAACGATGCAGTGACGTGAGTTTTGTTTTTGCCTTGGTCTGTTCTGCATGAGCAGGAGACAAAGAGGCCCATCCAGTGAGCTCCTTTGTGGAAGGCAAAAGAGCCACCAGTGGTGCAGTAGGGCAGTAAGTCCCAGGGCACTGTGAAGGAACTGCTCTGGGTGGAGGTGTGGAAGTCAGTGGAGAATTAAGAATCCGTATATGACATGAATGCTCTGTGATTTCTACCTGGAGTTTTCCAGGTTCCTAGGGTATTTCACAAGCTGCCACAAATTTCTGAAAGAAATTTCAAATTAATTCAAACAATTTTTAAGTGGTTCTTTTGAACAACCTTAAGTCCATTATAAAAGTTATTCAGTCTTTGAAACAATGAAACAGATTGGAATTGACCTCATTCCTCTGAAGTTACCTCATAGAGTTGCCCTACAGAGTTTCTTTTTGAAGGAGGGGGTGGAAAGGCTGGGGACCAGCTCAAATAAGGGTGGGGTGATCTCCCTTACTGAGAGTGTGACCCTCTGTCATTACTTGAGAGGTGACCTTCACTGTAAACTGTGGGAAGAATCTAGAATAAGAGTAATGGGAGGTCTTTAGGCAGTTTTGATTTGGGATCTGCAAATGGAATGGCAGGGTGGGAATTCTGCAGGATGTTCTACTGAGGAGGAGCCTCAGAGCAGCTGTAGCTGACCCCCATGTTTTCTGGTTCTCAAAATATGAACATTTAAGCCAAGAACCATGTCAGAAGGTCCTCCCCGCTGATCTCAGTAGTCTACAGAAAACCACCTTAACTCCCCCCTCCAGGTACGTGTGCATCCGGGGTGTCTTCATCCTCACCACAGAATGCGCCTCCCTCACCGTCACGCTCGTCGTGACTCTACGCAAGTTTGTGAGCCTCATCTTCTCCATCCTGTACTTCCAGAACCCTTTCACTTTGTGGCACTGGCTGGGCACCTTGTTTGTCTTCATTGGGACCCTAATGTACACCGAGGTGTGGAACAACCTAGGGACCACAAAAAGCCAGCCTCAGAAGGAGGACAAGAAGAACTGAGGTCTCCCTGGAATAGAGAGACCAGTGTCGTAGTGAGCGAGGGTCTGGCCGCCATTTCACTTCTGTTAATGCTGAATTACCCCCAAGTATTGAACCAACCAGGTACCAGAGGATCCTCAGGAGGAGGGGACTTCTCAGATATCTCATAGCTATACAGACCAATGTGTGTGGCCTCCGAATAGAAAGTCCTCAACCCTGAAATAGAAAAAAGAACAGTCTCTACTATTGAACAGCCTGTTCATTTGTTATTTGTTTTGTTTACCAGACTATTCAGTACTGCACTTGTTTGTTGAATTCTGAGCCCCCAGAGCTACTAGTTTTATATCCATGGTCTTGGACAAGATTATCCCTTTGATTGCTGTTCTGATGATTCTCTGCCATAACAGTCATTATCTTCCTGTGGCCTCGTCCCTTTGTCCTGTCACCCTTCCACTCTGCAGCAGTACTTCTCAGTCAGACACTCCAGGCATCCTCGTCAGGAACCACTGAGTAGCCAAGTGAACTGAGACACTGGTGACATTGGGCTGGACAGCGTGTTGGGAAAGAAGCAGTTGTTCCTGCAAGCCGAGCCCTGGTGACACTGGAGCAAGACTGGTGGGAAGTCTTTCCCACATTTTGCTTTTTTTTTTTTCTATGCACAAGTCATATGCTTTCACATCTGCTGCTCTCTGTGCTAGAACAAACCTGCAGCATATCTCTATGCACAGTGTTAATAAGGAAGAAAGGCTGGGTATGAATTGGGAAAGAGAGACTTTTTCCCTCAGTCTTCTACATGAAGCCCACGAGCCTAGAGCTGAGATGGTGACGCCAGGATGGCCCAGGAGAAGTTGGTCCTGGTCAGCACCAGAGACCCTCACCTCCCCCTAGGCCCAGCCAGGCACTTGCAGGGCTGGCTCCAAGTGGGGAGATTAAGTCTGTCCTCTTAACCAAGGAGATTCAGCTCCGCCTGGCAGCTCTGACAGAGTCACGACCAGTCAGGCTAATAAGTAGACTAATATATGCAGTGGGTGTAGGTGGGGTGTAGAAATCAGGTCAAATCACAACTGAAATGGAAAGTTTTTCTTTTTTTCCTATAGGTATCTTAATGTTCTTGATGGGTATTTGTGGGGGTCGGGGGTTGTATGTATTTCATTATGCATAGAAACATGCCCCCTTTTTGCTCATCATTTCAAAGGTCTGGTTTTCATCCCACGGGATAATTTTGAGAAAGAGGAACGATGTCAGTGTAGTGTGTGTAGGTGTGTGTGTGTGCTCTTGTGTAGTCTGTGTGTGATAATTTTGGAGAAAAGCGTGAAAGTCAGGTTTCTTCTATTTCCTCTCTTTTCACTTAGCCCCGGGCCTTCGTTAACCTCACTCAAGTACATGCTCTTTTGTAGGCAGTTAAACTTACCAGCCACCCTCCTTTTGCACACAGACGAAGGCCTTTCAGTTTTTGCTGGGTGCAGACTGCCTTGTTAAATGGAGATGCGGCTCCCGGGTCCCCTGGGCCCACCGTGGTGTGGTGTTTACTCCACTGCCTGGAGCTGTTCTCCGGTGGGGTCTGAGATAAGTGTCCTACAACCACTGGGTCACTTTGGGGGAGTCACTTAAGCTGCCTCGATTTTTTGTTACATAAATGTGGATACTCTTTCTCCATCTAAGTCACAGAGTTTTAGACCAACTTGTCGTTCTGGACATTGACAGCTTTCCAGTGCCAGTCATGGTCTATTCTAAAAGATGCTGAATTAGGTGTGAATCCATTCATGGAATCAAAAGATACTTTCTTTGAAATATGTGGAGTTCCTCAGACTGATGGTGCTATAAATACCATGTGTTAAATATCCTCTTAAAAACAAAAAACAGGAAAAGCTGCTTTTCTTATGGCTTAACAGAACAACCTGTCCCAAGGCGCTGTTTGATTGCTACATATCTGGAGTCTTCACAGAATAATTCTTAATAGGACAGAGCCTTACATAACATAGTATCACTTTTTTTGTTGATGGGAAATATCAGAACTTTTAGTAATTGAACTGTGTCGATGTACACAGTCAGCATTTAACTGGGTCCATTAGGTTTTAGATTCTGGTTTTAGAGAGTGTGTGTTCCTCTCCGCCTGAACACCTCTGCTGGTCTTATTAACAAGAGGTTATGCATGGACAGAGTAGGGCACTCATACTATGAAACGAACACGTGTAAGAACAGTGTCTGAAATGCCCTGGGAATTGATTTTCTCTCTAGTGGTGGGATATAAGGAAATATGTCTAATGGGCACTAGTTAATACTTTATTTAACTACTTTTTTTTAACCATTTATTCCCCTTGGATAACTGATTTTTCAATCCAGGTTGAAATTGATTTCAACCTTTATTAAAGGGGCAAATAAACCATTTTGTATAGGATCAGACTCATACCTAACTAGAGGAGAAATGTCTATTAAATGCCTCTCCTTTTTCTCTGGATCAAGACCATGTAACATGCCCCAGAAAGAGAGAATATAGTTTGTTTACAAAAGAGATTGGTGTTTAAGACATCCAAAACTCTACCCTGAGAGCAAAAATCAAATAGCAGATGACACTAGCTGGAAAATGTAGTGTGTGTGTGTGTGTGTGTGTGTGTGTGTGTGTGTGTGCACGTGCCCCTTGTACCCAGCTTGGCCAGTGTCATAGATAAGGTAACAGGAGAAAACAGTGCATATTTGAATTTTATTAATTTGATGTCTACATATCCTTTACCACAATTCTGTTGTCACATTATAAGTGCTTTTTTTCATTTTTTATTAGTAATTTATCTTTGATCCTTTATTTTCTTTTTCATCCAACTAAAACAACCATTAATGCACTTGATAGGTTTCTATGAAGCTCTAAAGTATTTAGACGCAATCCAAATAGGTTTTTTCTCCTTCTTCCTGCCCAGTTATCCAAAATGAAATGCTACAGTACTTTAATTGGGTCAGTGCGACAAGCGAAGAAAACCACAAAAGCAGAGTTGATCCGTACCACTCCCAACAAACCTCTTCTATTCTTCTGGGAGGATCACCTGACATTTTTAAAGGATTCTGATATCTTGTGGTCATTTCCTAAGCACCTTTCCTCCCTTCTGCCCTGTTTTTCACTTCCTAACCCCTACCGGCAGTGTCTTCACTGCAGCCTGCCTTCACTTGTGTAGTTTTCTACTGAGCAACACCTCTAATCTTGTATCTGTTTATGCCTCTATGGGGCCTCTGGATGTTTTTGTGGATTTTTACAGGATATTTTTATCTGTGTAGTATGTATTTTGTTATACCTTGTTATAAGCATTGATACTAGGGGTGTGTGTCTATAAGGAGGGGAATATTTGGCAGAGTATGTGAATATATGTGTAGATGAGTATGAACATGATGGGTTGATGTAAAAATGTTTATATATTCTGTTACAGCTCAAAGTGGGGCTAAGAATCTTGACCACTGGTCACTTATAGATTTGGAAAACAATAGTTTTCTTATTTTGCTCTTTTTACCTTACCTCTAGCTGACTTCACTCAACAGTACCAAATGCCTGTGGTGAAGGGAGGTTGAAACATGAGGTCAGGAATAAATCGAAACCAATGAATTATCTCTGGGCTGATGGACATACTCCTTGGTGGACCAACTGACATATTAGAGAATGTAGCAAAGACCTGAGCAGATACACAAATACACATCAAGAAGAACTGCATCATAGACATCTGAAATCAAGATCCTACATTTGTTGTAGTTTGTTTCTCTATGGCTTGGAGTAAATAGAATTATGAGTAATTCTGCCTTTATTAGATAAACAAAGCATTTAGTCTCAATAGCTGTGTCCTTTTAAAATGTGAGTGGAACTTACCTGGGGCAGTTCATCCTTAGGCTGAAAGAACTGTCAATATAGAAAAAACTTATTATTATTACTGATTGGCGTGACATTTGAAAATGAGTATAAACAATATTTGTAAGTAAAAGAACCAGTCATAAGCATTGGGGTATGTTCAGTATGTCCCAAGCTGGGGTGGGAGACTGTGTTCTCTCTTTCCAGCAGCTTCCTCACAGTAGACACTGCAGAGAAGGGAGGGACCCGGGATCATGTCTTCTTCAGTTCTGTATTGCCGGCCCCGGCACAGTGTCTGACTTGCATCACGTGAATAAATGAATGCCACCCAAGATCTCTTATTGCCACAAGTTTCTGAGAAACCTTCTAGTGGTTCCTGATACCTCTTACCATTCTGCATCTGCTGGTTGGCAAGAAAGCAAATAAGAGGAAACGTTCCTAAGATTCCAAGCGAGGGGGGGAATGGAGGACATACACCACGATTGCTATTGCTCTGCGGCTTTTTGCTCTCTGATTGCCTGATGGTAGGAGGGAAGAGCATTATATATTTAGCACTTCACATCATTTGATGCTCAGTGCAAGGAGATGCCTATCAGGTCAGCATTAAAGATTCCTAAAAGTGTTTGAGGTCGGCTGCCTGGGGTGGACCCTTCCGTCTCCATGGCGGGTGTAGCTGGTTTGTGTTGGTTGATGCCTGGAGCCCACTGTCTATTTGTCTATTCACAGTGTCATACCGAGACACCTCCCCTGAGTTTTACCTCCTTAAATCGCTAACCATCCTACCAAATGTCCTCAACTGTAATCAACTAAGGCAAACTGCAGGGTACCAGAGATAGGTCGGGGGTGGGGGGTGGGGAGTGTGGTCTACGCCTAGAAGAAACAAGACCCATCCTTTTTAAGGGAAAAACTTGTAATGATTCCTCTGCACATTATTTGTATCTTTTGAGATGTAAAGAGTCCTGTGAACCAACAAGAGAAGCAGTAGTCATTCCCCAATGCAATAAAAATGTCTTTGTGTATCACTTGCAGTCACAAGTCATTTCTGTGCTAGTTGCTTTCATTCCAGAGAATGGCACCATCCTCCAAAAAAGAAGCTGATTTTTAAAGTAGGATTTCCTAACAAACAGATCACACGGAGTGGGAGTGGGGAGGGCGGTGGGGATTGGATTTATGCAGCCTCTGAGCTCTTCACTCAGTATTACATTTTAAGAACAAAGATGGGTGGGAGGGGCCTCGATAGCAGGAGTGCCTGTAGAACAGCTAAAAGACATTAGTGAGTATTCAGATTTTGAGCTGTTTAAATATCAAACATCGCTTCCAGCCTTATGAGTTATTTCAGCAGAGGGAAGGAGGAGAGGGAGATTTTGTGAATAAAATGTTTTACCAAACAAACTGAAGGAGTCTTTTTACCATGATTTCTTATAA